TTCGGAGTCCATCCCGATCCATGGAGTTGCTCGCAACGTGCCAATGAAGCTTGGCGAGTGGGAAGGTCTCATCGACTTTTCCGTCGTCACCATGGACGATCACCCAGTCATCCTCGGCATAAACTTCCTCGACAAGGAGGGAGTGCTCTTGAAGCCCAACTCCAACACGATGTGCTTGGAGAAGGAGGGGGAGTTTCATGCGGTCCATCTCTTGAGAGAAGATGGCCCCCATAGTGCTCTATCGGCCATGCAAGTGTTGAAGGGGTTCAAGAAGAATGAACCAACCTTTCTTGTGTCCTTGAAGATGGAGGAAGAAGGAGGCTCAACGGGAATTACAACTCCCATCATCGAAGGCGTCCTCGAAGAGTTCGATGACGTGATGCCATCGGAGTTGCCCAAGAAGCTGCCACCAAGAAGAGAGGTGGACCACAAGATTGAGTTGGAGCCAGGAGCGAAGCCCCCTTCGCGAGCACCATACCGCATGTCGCCACCGGAGTTAGAGGAGTTGCGGAGGCAGCTCAAGGACTTGGTGGACGCAGGCTACATGCGGCCATCGAAGTCACCTTTTGGAGCACCGGTGCTGTTCCAAAAGAAGAAGGAAGGGTCGTTGCAGATGTGCATCGACTATCGAGCCATCAACAAGTTGACGGTGAAGAACAAGTGGCCGATTCCCCACATTGCCGACTTGTTCGACCAGCTTGGAGATGCAATGTGGTTCACCAAGCTTGATCTTCGCTCGGGCTACTATCAAGTGCGGATAGCAGAGGGCGACGAGCCAAAGACGGCTTGTGTGACGAGGTATGGCTCTTACGAGTTTCTTGTGATGCCATTCGGTCTCGCCAACGCACCAGCCACGTTTTGCACTTTGATGAATCAAGTGTTCGAGCCATTCTTGGACCGGTTTGTCGTGGTCTACTTGGATGACATCGTCGTGTATAGCAAGACACTCGACGAGCATGCCGAGCATCTACGCCAAGTCTTCCAAGTCCTTCGCGACAACGAGTTGTATGTCAAGAGGGAGAAGTGCACATTTGCCGCCACGGAGGTTCCATTCTTGGGGCACATCATTGGTGGAGGCAAGTTGAAGATGGATGGAGCGAAGGTGCAGGCAATCCAAGAATGGGAGCCGCCGACGAAGGTGCCAGAGTTGCGGTCATTCCTCGGCCTTGCCAACTACTATCGGAGGTTTATCAAGGGCTACTCCAACATTGCAGCACCCTTGACGGATCTCTTGAAGAAGAACAAGGCGTGGGATTGGTCGGGAAGGTGCCAAGAAGCATTCGAGGCCTTGAAGCAAGCGGTGGTAAAGGAGCCCGTGCTCGTGCTCCCCAACCCAACGTTGGCCTACAAAGTGCAGACCGATGCATCCGACTTTGCGATTGGAGGAGTGTTGATGCAAGATGGGCATCCCATTGCCTTCGAAAGTCGGAAGCTCAGCGAGACGGAGAGGCGATACACCGTTCAAGAGAAGGAGATGACGGTCGTGGTGCATTGCTTGCGCACATGGAGGAACTACTTGTTGGGGTCAAAGTTCGTAGTGAAGACGGACAACGTGGCGACGAGCTACTTTCTGACGCAGAAGAAGCTCACCCCCAAGCAAGCGAGGTGGCAAGACTTTTTGGCCGAGTTCGACTTCGTCATGGAGTACAACTCAGGCAAGGCGAATTCCGTTGCCGATGCTCTTAGCCGCAAGAGTGCCGCCGCAAGCATCAGCCAGCCCATGTTTCCTTTGAAGGAGCGGATCGTTGAAGGCCTTGGCCATGACCCCTTCGCCAAAACCGTAGCGGAGTACATCGAGCAAGGCAAGACTCGACGGTTTTGGATGAAGGATGGGCTCATCATGACCAAGGGAGAGCGAGTGTTCGTGCCAAGGTGGGCCAACTTGAGGAAGGAGATCATGAAGGAGTGCCATGATTCCAAGTGGGCGGGCCATCCCGGCATCGAGAGAACGCAAGCGCTCATCAAAGAGGCATACTTCTGGCCGCGTATGAGAGACGACGTGGAGATGTATGTGAAGACTTGTCTTGTGTGCCAACAAGACAAGATGGAGCAGAGAAGCCCGGCAGGCTTGCTAGAGCCCTTGCCCACACCTCAATGACCATGGGAGAGTGTAAGCATGGACTTCATCATCGGACTTCCCAAAGTCGATGGGTGCGGTTGCATCATGGTCGTTGTGGACCGGTTCTCGAAGTATGGAGTGTTCGTCCCCGGCCCAAAAGACATGACGGCAGAGGATGCGGCGCGGCTATTCTTCAAGAACGTGGTCAAGTATTGGGGCGTTCCTAGCAACATCGTGAGCGACAGAGATGGGCGCTTCACGGGCAGATTTTGGCGAGAGTTGTTCAAGATCATGGGCTCAGACTTGAACTTCTCGACGGCGTTTCATCCTCAAAGCGACGGACAGACGGAGCGGGTGAATGCCTTGTTGGAAGTGTACTTGTGGCACTACGTGAGTGCAAACCAACGAGATTGGGTGAAGTTGATGGATACGGCACAATTCTCCTACAACTTGCACCGCAGCGAGTCAACCAACACGAGTCCATTTGAGTTGGCGACGGGGCAACAACCTTTGACACCTACTACGGTGGCAACGGGGTATAGAGGCAACAGTCCGGCAGCCTACAAGTTCGCTAAAGGCTGGCACGAGAAGATGGAGATGGCCAAGTCTTACTTAGCCCGCGCTAGTAAGAAGATGAAGAAATGGGCGGACAAGAAGAGGCGGCACTTAGAGTTTGAAGAGGGAGACATGGTGATGGTCAAGTTCTTCCCTCATCGCTTCAAGCATCTCAAGAACGTGCACAAGGGACTGCTTCGCCGCTATGAAGGGCCATTCCCCATCTTGAAGAAGTCATGGCGCGTCGTGTCATTCCTCGTCGTGGCGTACATCCAAGCTTTGTGGAGTACTTGGTCAAGTGGCGCAACCTTCCGGAAAGTGAAGCAACTTGGGAGAAAGAGCTCACACTTTGGAAGAACAAGGACTTGATCGAGGCATTCCATCAAGAGGACGCGACGAGGCGTCGCGAGCATAGGTGGGGGAGGATGTCACATGTGGCAGATGACATGGCGCCAACAAGGTGACAACAAGGCGGCTGCACATGTGGCATGTATGGAAGACTAGTAGCATAGAGATGCTCCTAGGATTCTCCACCTAAATGAGAGCTTAATGGTGCACTTATGGACTACATTATGGTAGTATTAATAGAGTGCATTATGGGGGGACTTTATGGGGTGTATTGATGTAGTAGAGGGACCATTATGAGGGGCATTGATGCCTTGTATGAGGAGAGGCCTATATCAGGAGCCATCTCCCTCACTTGTAAATCATTCCATCATTTTTGAGAGTAATACACACTAGAGAGTTCTCCCACTTCCTTTGTCTTTGTTCTTGTTCTTTGCTTTCAAGTGAGTTGAGAGAAAGGCTGCCTAGCGCTCTAACGGAATTGAGAGCTAGGGCCGCACGATCGAGAGTAAGGTCGTGACAAAGCCCACGGACCCTCGCAGGGTCAAACCTGCGATCCCCTGTATTCCCATGGAATTTGGAGCGGGAGATCCGCCCCGCAGGGCTTTACCTCCACTCTAGGAGGATAACTCCAGAGCCGTTCAACTATATGTCCCCGCAGGGTGCAGCCTGAAGCAAACTCAACTCCAAAGCCATCGGAGGGGACAGGCCATCTGGCCAGAATTTCCGCCACGAGGAAATCCAAGCTGGCACAGGTCCCCGGGTTTCCGCCCAAACCAGTTCCATCCTTTAATGCCCCCAAACTGGGTCACAAGCCAGCGCTACCAGGCTCGGCGACTCAACCGTCTCCAGTGTCCTACCAAAATAGGACTTTTCCATTGTACTGTTCCTCGATGTGGTATGCAACAAATTAATTGACGCCGACGGCGCAACCCGGAGACACTATTATATATCCTCTCAGCACTGCTAGAATATACAGAATCAGGTGCTCTTCAGTTTATGGGGTACACGTGACAATTTACAAGATTGTAACATCGATGCAATATATTCATGTGTTTTTTTTTTAATTTCTCTCTCATCAAAATAAAATTAAAGCTCACGATGATTTTGAGATGAAACTAATTATGGAAATGGCAATGAACAAGAAATAAATATGCATAGAAATAAATGAGAAAAAATGCATAAAGTGAAACTTGGGCACAATAAAAGGAATGAACGTTGTCGTTCAAGTTGAGATGGCAACTCGTAAATGAATTGAGTTCATTGATTTGTGGATTTCATGAAGTTGGATCAAATGGATTGGTTATTTGTCGTCCAAATAGAGGTGACAGCGGGCAAACAAATTGATTTCATTGATTGGTAGATTCATTAAGTTGGATCAAATGATTTGTGAGTTGTCGGACAAATAGAGGTGACAACAGGTATATAAATTTATTTCATTGATTTATGGATTCATGAAGTTGGATCAAATAGATTGGTCAATGGTATTCTAAGTTGAGGTGACACTGACAACTGCCAAATGAATTGATTTCATTGATTGCTGAATTCATCAAGTTGGATTAAGTTGGTGAATTACCATCAAAGTAAAGGTGGCAACTTGCAAATGACTTGAGTCCAATGATGGGTGAATTCATGAAGTTGGATCAGATAGATTGGTGAATTGGATTCATGAATTCAGATGACATTTGAACATTGAAAATATATGCAAATTGCGAAAGGGCTCAATTGCAAGTTTGATCACTTGAATTACTAGTAAACTTCACATTAGCCACTAGAATTACTTTATTCCATCCGTAGTTACTAAAATTAGGTTAACAGTCCAAATTTGATCACCGGCTGTTAGTCTCCGTTAACTTTTGCTAATGTAACGATCAACTTGTAGAGAGTTGACCGTTAAATGAATGACGTGGCAATTAAAAAATATATAATTATTTTTATTTTTCAACTAATTATTATAGATTAAAAAAAGAAAATCCTAATTATTTTTCAACTAATAAAACATTGAAATAAATGCAAATTGCGAAAGTTTATGCACTAAAATAGCATACCAAATTTTTTTAATACCACCAAAACACAATTTTCGAATAGCAATTTACATAAAACAAAATTAAAATTTAGATATAAAAAAGAAAATAGTATAAGTACTGAACTGTACTTCAAATCTCCACGAATCAAAGTGACTTCCGTAAAAAAATAACTTCCGAAAGAAACTGTGTCCGTCACTGTACAGCAGCTAAAGCCGACTTCTCCTCAATCCATGCACATTACAACCTGTTTGAACCAAACAAGAGCTTCAAGTGCTCAACAAAATCAAAATCAAGCAGTACCCTCTTAAAACTGCAAAGACCTTTCTGCATTTCCAATAACCAAAATCCATTACACTTTCATTACATCTCGACTTCACAGTAAAACATCAACTCGCTCGCAGCAAACCAAAGCTATACCATTCAAAAGGTAAGAAAACCAAAAAAAAAGAAGGAAACAGACTCATCCTCGGGTATTTGCCATCATAACTACAAAAAAGACTCAATCTTAAGGAGGAGGATTCTGCGAGTTCCAAAATCATGAGGGGAAGAGATGAATAAGACCCAAACTGACTGTGGAAAGCGAATAAGACATTCCGTAGATAGACTCGATGACTCGACAACCATGATAATGTCTTACGAAGAGGGCTAAAATCTCGGTGGACTAATCACTTCCCATTACTGAGAAGAAATATGGAATCAGGGTTCCTCAAGTCGTTCGTTTACTGCTACGCAGCAAAGTGCTCAAGACCCCGAACCAAACCCAGCTCCCTTTAGACTTGACACCCTGGACTGGACAACTGGACCAAGACGACCCAAACCCCGACTCAAGACCCGACCCGACCCGACCAGACATGACCTGACCTTGACAAGTACCCCTGAGACTGATGGAAGACAGCTGACCAATCTGCAAGAAAAACAAAAACTGGTAAGCTGATTCATTGGGACACGCCTATACACAGTTCAATTCTGCTTCCATACTACATATAGTCTGAAAAATAAGCCGAAAAATCGGACAGAATGGAACACAATAAACTACTGGGTTGACTATGGTTCTCATTTTTTAGGTTATTTTCCATCCGGTCCAATTCTAGACCAGACCATAAAATGCAGGCCCATACTCATGGATGCTGCAAAAAAGAAAAATCTCAGGTTTCTCTTATTTCAAAGTCAAAAGGGTAAAAATGTTCATACATTTAGCTGAAGTTGAATCCACCAGGAGGAACTGCAGGATCACTGCCACCGAACTGGAAACCAGATTGAGCAGCAGTATCACCAGGTGGCATTGTCTCATCTTCCTCCTCCAACCAATAAGTCTCGAGAATTCTGACGGCCTTCTCATAAATCTCAGTGTTGTCATGAGACTGCAAGTTTTCAATTTTCTCCAAACCTTCAGAATCATCAATCAACTGGGCATACTGATTTACTCCGCCAGTGTTGCCGAGATTCTTGTCAGCCTCTCCAACCTTCAAGATGTTCTCGAGGCCTTCAAGACATACTGTTACAATTCTGGGGTCAGGGCAGATGAGAAGGTCGCACAATGGCTTGATGCAGCCTTGGCTAACAAGGTACCTGTATCCAAACAAGGAACAAGCAAATAAGAGCGATGCATCATTAAAGCAAGAGATTTTGTTTGTTATGGCGTTAGACAGAGTGATCTATCATTATTGATAAAAACAAGCACACCACAGAAATCGTTTTAAAAAGGGGAAGAAAGACGAGCATCAAATCCTTACTTGATTTGATCATGGGTACCACCAGAGGTCGCATTAGAGATTGCCCAAGCAGCTTCCTTCTTGATATCGAATTCAGCATTTTGCAAAAGATGGACTAATGGGCCGATGATATTAGCCTCAATTACACACTGCAAGATAAGGCGAAGGCATCAATCAAATGTAAGTCAAATAATCAAAAATATAATCATGATCAACAATCGATTGCTATGGAAATTTTATACAAAAAACATACCTGAATCTGCTCCTTGTTACCAGCAGTTATGTTTGAGATAGTCCAGCAAGCTTCCTTCTTGATGCTCTTCTTATAGTTGTTGGTCAGCAAGTTGAGAAGACAAGGAAGTGCTTGATGATTGATGATACACTGTCAAAAGTCAAGGGAAAGGGAAAAGAAAACAATGAGAAGAACTAGTCAACATCACAAATATTATCCAACATCCACTGAAGCAAGAATCATAGCCAATAGTGCAACTACATCACTCAGACTTCAGCAGCCAATCAGGAAACCAAAGCAGAGTTTCATTACATTATATCACATCGGAATACACAAGTCAAGAACATTCATTGATTCCCATAAACCAGATATAACTTCCAGTACCTGAGTTTGCATATCATCACCAGTGACAATATTTCCAACAGTCCGAAGTGCGGGAATGAGAACAGAAGGAGAAGGGTGCCTGTAGGAAATAGTTGTGAGCTGTTTAGCAGGTTGTCGAGCAATAATCATAACGTAAAAGTTCTGAATTCCCTCTAGATACTAATATAATAAAGAACATGGATGAGGAAGTACAGCACTCACAACAAGAGTTCAACCAGGCGAGGGCAAACACCAGCTTCAATGACAGCTTGAATTTTGTCATTGGTACCATCAGATAGATATGAAAGTGCCCAACACGCATCAGTCAATACCTCTTCATCATTAGAATGAATAAGCTGTGCAAGGGCTGGAAGAGCAGGCTTAACCTGTTGCATTAAACAAATAGTGTAAGAAAAACAAATATGTGGACAGACTACGAGACCATAAGTCTTGACAAACATATTAAACTATACAACTTCCAAATCTATCACACGGTATTCATGAACATAATCAAACATCTAAGGAGGTGGATAGCAAAAGCTGATCACCAATCTAAAGAGAAGAGGAAAGATTTTAAACAAAACCTGGTCGAATGGAGGCTGTGGCTTCCCACGACAGAAGTTCGACAATGTCCATGTAGCATTTCTAAGCATCGATAATTTTGCATGCTCATTAAGCTGAGCTAGCAGTGGAAGCAAAGCTCCATTGCCAAGCACAAGATCACGGCATCTTGGAGAATCCCCAGCCACATTTCCTAGAGCCCATACAGCCTGATAATAAGAGGACAAATATGAGAAACAAGAAAGACAAACAATTCCAGAATCACTGCAGCAGTAAAAAAAAAATGTCCCCATAAGTGTACCTGCTCGCGGACATCATCACTTGGTGAACCCAGAAGCTTTACAAATATTGGCACAGCACCATGATCAATCACAACTTTAGTATTATCAGATGTTCCAGAAGCAATATTTGTAAGCGCCCAAGCTGCTTCAAACTACAAGAGATTTCAACCAATTGGATTCTAAGAGATAACAGTTAATTTCAAATAAAAAACACAGACAGGGTTGGCATCCCACAAACCTGAAGCTGGGGAAAGTCCTCTCTCATTAGAAACTCGACAAATCGTGGAACAACTCCAGCTTGTATGACTTCCTCAATCGGAGGGCTCCGCTCTGTCATTTAATCAAAGGGTACACAAAATCTCAGCAACCAAGGAATGGAGAAACAAAACGTAGATAAGAAACACTTTATGCAGAGCCAAAAGATCACCAATCGAGAGCAACTTTCTGAACTGTGTTGTTGCCTCGAGCTGCAGATTGCCATCATCAGACCAAACACCAGACACCATAGAAGGCAGATGCTCCAACTGCATGCAAACAAAATGATAGTACAGACAATTAAGTAAAACAGCTGTAAATAAATTAGTCATTCGACGACATATTAGCCAAACTCCGCCACAACAATTCAATCATGCATAGGCAAAACACCAGATTGATTCGGAACCCTAATTCCAACTAACCCAACCATCCGAAACATATTACAGGGATAAACCAGTCGATCAGTATTATCACAGCTAAACTCTGCAAGGCCGATTCAATCACATATCAATCGAACAAAGCAACCGACCATATTGATTCAAAACCCTAACTCCAACTAACCAAACCCCAAGAATCCAACGAAATTACGATCGGAACTTCTTTATCAACCACCGAACAATTAGTGAGACGCAATCAGTTCATCTCATGTCTCTCGATTAATTAACAAAACTATAGCGAACAGAAAAAAAAAAAAAGTAAAAGAGATAAGAGCCACAAAGCAAACCTTCTTCTCGACAGCAGTAGAGTGCATCGAGGCAGGCATGGGCTGAGCAGCCAGTCCCTCGCGTCTCTTCTTCTGGAGGCTCTCCTCTCTCCGATTCTTCCGGATCTCCACCATGTTATCCTCCCTCCTCCGCCGCCCTTCCTCCGCGTCGACGGCGACCTTGTACCTGTTCTTGCGGACCTCAGTCCTTGCGTTCGGCCTCAACGACATCGTGATACAAAATTGGACTAAGACACCGACGGCCGAGGCAAACAAACACCGCCACCAACACTGCCCTCTGCTCCTCCTCGACGAAGATCGAAGGGAAATTAGGGTTTTGCAGAGATCGACTTCGCTTCGATTTTGTCACTTGCAGGTTTTCTTGTGAGAACAAAGGGTCACTCCTAGAAAAATGACAGAAATAAAGGGGAAGAGTGGACAGTGTGAGAGGAAAAAATTTATATATTGAGTGGAGGGAGCGTCGGAAAGTGGTCGTGGATCGGACGATTATTACGAGATATGCCACTTTAGAAATTTGAATTTCGAAGGGTGAGGGGAAAATAAAAATATATATAAAGGAGAGAGAAAAAAAGGTGACTTTGCCCTGACCTGGAGCGGGCCCCAGCAGGCAGCGAGACAATTTGCTCTTTCTATTAGTCTTTCCCAACGGCGTCGTATAATTCCTGGAACTATTTCTTGAAGAGTAATTATCGTTGTACTTTTTTATTTTACTTCAATTAGCAGAGCGGCCAGCCTCTTGGCTGAAAAAATTTTCTCGAGTAATATATTATATAATAATATATATAATAGATTATATGAAATACATAAAATTATTTTTTTCTATCTATGTTATCCACATAATATTTTTAAAGTGATCCAACTATGCATAATTTGTTTAGACCTTCATGAAAAAAGAAAAAAATATAAGCATTACATATTAAATGAAAAAAATATAACTAATTGTCATTCATTACTTAATTAAATCATATAGTTGAATATTAGAGTTGCTTCTCATAATACATATATAATTAATCTTTAGGATGAAAGCAAATGTCTCATAGAGTTTAGTATGTCTTTAAGTTTTTCCCAATAGAGAGCATTCTTTTTACCGGACTATTGGTAATAAATCCGAAGTTGCTTGATTTGAAATATATAGGACATGATGTTAAGTTGTCGCTAATAGTTAGTTGGACAATGTGTTGTG